CCAAAGCCCCCCCAAATGCCCCCGTGCCCGCTGCCCCACCTCCATGGTCTGGGTCTTGCCCGATGACGTTTGTCCGTAGGCGAAGATGGTGCCCGCTGCCCCACCTCCATGGTGTGGGTCTTGCCCGATGACGTTTGTCCGTAGGCAAAGATGGTGCCGTTGTACCCGGCCAGAACATCTGGGGGCGAGAGGGGGTTGGGGACCCCCGAACACCCCCCGGGAGCCCCAAAAACACCCCCGGGAGCCCCAAATACCCCCCGGGATCCCCGAACATCCCCCGGGACACCCAAATACCCCCCGGGACCCCCGGGGACATCGCAGACCCCCCCAAACCCCAAGGGACCCCTCTGGGAACCCCAAATGTCCCCAACCCTCCCCAGATCACCTCGGAGCGCTCCAGGGAACCCCAAAAACACCAACGGATCTCAGAGACACCCCAAAAACCCCGGGGACCGCAATGACCCCCAAAGGACACCCCAAACCCCCGGGGACAGCAGTGACCCCCAAAGGACACCCCAAAACCAGGGGGACCACAGTGACAACCCCCCCCTCAAAGTCCTGCAGAGCTCCCGAGGCCTTCTGGGCAACCCCAGGACCCCCAGGCCAGTGCTCCCTGCTGTCCCTGCTGTCCCCAGCTGTCCCCAGCTGTCCCCAGACTGTCCCCAGGTTGTCCCCACACTGTCCCTGAGCTGTCCCGGGCTGTCCCCACGCTGTCCCCAGGTTGTCCCCAGGCTGTCCCCAGGCTATCCCGGGCTCTCCCCGTGCTGTCCCCATGCTGTCCCTGGTCCCTGATGTCCCCGGCCTATCCCAGGCCGTTCCCCGCTGTCCCCAGGCTGTCCCCACGGTGTCCCCCCTCTGTCCCGGGCTGTCCCCACACTGTCCCCGTGTCCCCGTGTCCCTCACCCTTGACGATCTGCATGGCACACGCGTGGTACACCTGCTCCTGCGTGGTGTTCGGGGGGAACACGCGGTCAAAGACGTACGGCTTGCCCTGGGGGGGACAAGGGACACGCACGGGGGTCAGCGGCCAGAGAGAGCCCCCCCCCGCACGGGGGTCACCGGCCAGAGACCCCCACATAGGGGTCACCGGCCAGAGAGAGACCCCCCCCTCACAGTAATCGCCGGGCAGAGCCCCCCCGCACAGGGGTCACCAGGCAGAGCCCCCCCGCACGGGGGTCACCGGACAGAGACCCCCGAGGCGCGGGGGGCTGGGGCAGCCTTGGGTCCTTCGGTAAGTCCCAGTGTGGGGGGGGGGGAGGCTGTGGGGTCTCATTCTGTGCCCCTTGTGCCCACCCAGAACCCCCACCCATGGGCCCAGCCCCCCAATATCCACAGAGACCCCCGCGTCCAAATCCTCTCACAGACCCCCGGGACCCTTCAGACTTCCCCAGATTTCCCCAGGGATTCCCACAGACCCCTGAGCCCCCCCCAGACCCCCGTGCCCCCCCCCACCCCC